GTCGGGTGGGGGAAAAATCCTCAACACAGTCGCGTCTGTCTCCAGCAAACAGGACGTTTTTCAGGCCTTGGGCTCAGGCGTATGACCAATCTACTGCGGGTGAATGAATTACTGACTGTCAGCTGGGCCATTTTCGCTGAGGTTTAAGCACAGGCGTTTTACCTGCCATGCGCCAGGAGCCAAGAGCCTGCACTCGCTGGGCACGCACCGCCGCTGGCCGCACGGCACGCGGGCGCTTGTGTTACCTGTTCGCCGCCTGCCGCGGCTGTTTGCTCGGCGGCACTCATCAACCCCGACGGGTCAGGCTTCAGGACGAGGACCCAAGCCATTTCACCCCCCAAGGAACGTCTCCGAGAGACAGGAACCTGCTTCTAAAGGAAGCAACGCTTATCTCATGCATGCCACAGGTGTGATGTCATCCCCTCTGGCGAAGGAACGAGGATGTCTACAAACCTCCGCTGTGCAAAAATGCAGGAACTAAAGTTAACGTGTCTCAGAGTTTGTTAAAATATGGTGATAATTAAGAAATATAATTACCACTACAAAGTTAATTCCTCTTTGAGTTCTGACAAACAAGTTTTTAATTTGCACCAAAAGTTTACATTTCAGATTTGAAGAAGACAACCACGAATGGCTACGAGCTTGGCAGGGGACTCAAGGCGGTGGCTGGCAGGTTGTGCCAGGCTTGGGGGCAGCAGCACTGAGGCTTCCCGGGAATGGCACAGGCGAACGGTCGCCAGCAAACCCCGGGTGCACACAGGTAAGCCCATCGGATTGCTTTAAACTGTCTCGCCTGTTGTACAAGTGTGAAAATAATAGCCGTGTCAGATAAATTTCTGTTTTTTATTGAAAAAAAAAAAACCAAACCCACCCAACAACAACTTATAAGGTAATTGATTGCTTTCGTCTAGTCTTTTATTAGTTGTGATTAAGGAGATATAGTAGCCCTGTTTACACAGCTCTAACAAGTCAGGACCTGCAGTACGTTATTGGCTTGCGGCCCACAACTTGCAGTCCATTCTGAGCAGAATCAATCTGAAGTTGAAAACATCCCCTGTAGGAAGCGTACACATCCCTGCTTACACAGGAACAGAAAACAGTAATAACTTCAGGTCCTGTAAGTTGCAAGTTCAACTTACAGAGATCAGCCCTGACTTGTCATTGCTCTCAGCATGTTCGTGATGAGATCAGAGTGCTTCACGGAGGACTCATACTTTCAACTTGACAAGGGACATAGGTGAGCATGTTACACTTCACTGTTACTCGCAGCTCAGGCTCTGCAGAAATAAATCGAGAGCTCCTCGCTGTTTAACATGCAGTCAAAGCACTGCCAATCTAAAATGGCTGATCAGTAATACTTTAATTGCAGTTTCATAGAAACAAATTGCTATTTAATTGCAATAAGCTCTTCCGCGGCTTAGCTGGACTGACAATAGGCATACACCTGGTACTAAAAGTAACAAGCAGCAGCAATGGTTATCTAGTATTTCATGCACAGGAAGCTCAGACAGTGAAATCAGACCTGGAACACATAATTTCACACTGAAGAAATATAATACTTAAAAAATATATATACACACCTAAATGTTCTGATCTCAATTTTGTTATTTTAATAGAGCTGTTCAGAACGTAGATCCTTGCAAAAAGCCTCACACTTGACATATAACTACCAGCCAAAGAATTTGATAAAAAATTTAAATTAAAATGATCTTTTGAAATGCCTGACGGTACTTGATAGCAAGTCATACTATGCCAGTATGTGATTCTTTTTTAATTATTTACCCTAGAATTAGGTAATGCCAATTTTATCAGTGTTAACTAAGAGGGAAAAAGGGAGACAAACTCCGTGTGGTTAATATTCTAAAGATGTGACTTAATTTCATAGGCTTCATTTTGGTAAGACATTCTCATTTTATATTTCATAAGATACTGCACAACCTGTTAAAATATTTAAAGATAAATCATGTAGGACTGAAAAGACAGTATCTTGTTGCAAACAGAATTCGGTTTGGAAAGGCTTAATGTCCCGCTGCCTGCCAGGATGCGTAAATCTCGTAACTAGACAGCTGGATAGGTAAAAACATTAAACCCATTTAGAGGGCAATCTTTTTACAAAATTGTTTCATTAATAAGAGTGACAATTTATATGATTGAGACGTTTAGATGCAGTATAGACAGAGCATTTTATCCAGGTTCACGAGGATGATTTCAGATTAGTAGTATTTCCTTTGATTTTTTTTTTAACAGCATTCATTTCTGAAAGTGAGGGAAGCTCTTACTGAATGCTTATTTGTGTGACTTTTCAGCAGCACTAAATGCGGAGGGTGTATTTCAGCCTCAGTGTAGCAAAGGCATGTGATAAAAGGTGAACAAGTACATGTTTTTCCTCACAGATCTCCTAAAAAAGAAGTGATTTTTCACATAAGGACAAAACTAAGTGTTTCCAGTAGCCTTCTATCCACACCTACCGTCCCCATTAGAGCCTGTTTTATTGTCTGAAATGCCTCTGGTTTCAAGAAAGTGTATTACCTAAAGCAAGAATACTACTTAAATATGTTCTATTGTATATTCATAGCTCCATTAGTCCTCCTCCAATTTAGCACATCAAAGCAAAGGCTTCATCACTTGCATGTGGATTATGCTAACATGAGTGACATTTGTAATCTTATAGGTCTGCAACTTAAGAAATGCTTTTAAAGTAAGCTATTAAATAGGTAGCTGTGCTTTACAAACGAATCATCTAATAGTTTATTTAAAGCCGTTAATGAACTTCAACCTCTACATCACTAAATGCTCTACTACACTACTTACTAGAAGTTATTAGCTATCTTCTTAGCACTTCTAGGTTATATTGGACAACCAAAAATCTGCACGTTAGATTTAAACACTGTACCTTGAGTGCTTATACTGAAAGACTATAAAAAGATGTCTACAGTCTCACTAATACTTGAATTCTATATTCCTATGACTTCAAGTGTCTTTTCAAAGATACTGAAGCAGCACAATTTGCAGGGCTCTACCTAAAGACTTTAATGCCAGATCAAAAAGCTTAGAAACTTATTTAAAAAAATATGTAAGTGCATTTAATAAAAAAGTCATACATAGCTTTAGTCATTTGCTTTATATGTCATGCAAGCATTCTTTTGTCTTTACTGTCTGATACTGTACATTATGACTTTTTTTTTTCTCTGCGACAGTCCTATTTTTCCTCAAGCACTGAAGTGTTAAAAGAAGAAATTCAGCAGACCTCCAATATACTAGAGGTCAAGAAGTAGAATCTGGAAAAAAAAAATAAAAAAATCTGCTGTTGCTTGTTTAGACAGACAAATCTATAAATCAGTTTTTTGTGTATTGGCATCACAACAAAAATAAGTCAAGCTCGCTCTGTAACCAAGCACACTGAATAGCGAACACCTTCTCAAAACCAGGAAGAAGAAAACATAATCACGATGTATTTCAAATGTGTTAGTCTCCTAGAAAAGTAGAGTAGTTGTTAATATCGATCTGTTATTAATTGCGGCAGAGGCACATTCTAGGTGCCTGCGCTTTCCTGACGGAAGGCACACAACGCGCAGCCCTGGATTCACGTTAGTGTTCTTGCTACAAACATGCAAAGTCAGAATTTTTTTCTCAAAATTATTCTGCACAGCTCTACCATCGAGCAGCTGATGGGAAACACCCGCTAAATGAAGTTGCTCCCTTTCTAAGCCTGGAGGAGGCTTTGTTGCTTTGGCAGGGGGACCAGGGATGTTTTTTGTTTGTTTGCTTTTGGAGAACAGATCATATTTGAGATGAGTGAGTTCTCGGAAATAGCCCGGGAAACATGTTTTTCTTTCCAAGTGTTGAGAAGTTAGTCTCTTAGCACAGCAAACACAACTTTATGTTGTTCACATCAGAATAGCTATTGTATTCCTTTTTATGAATACTCAATTCTAGTGCTCAGCATGAGGTACAGACCTTTTGTTGGTTTTTATTTTATTATTCTTTGACCTCTTGTGGTATATACATACTCTCTCGTGCTTCCACACTCACAGACACATGCACACCCTTAACGCAAATGATTCTGCAGAAAGGAACTGGATAGAAAGAGACCACAATACCTATATGAGTACCATAATTCACTGCAATATGAATTATAAGATACTTGCTGTTACCAGAATTAAGAAAAATAAAGATCATTTTGAAGTAGTGCTCTGTATCCTTGCCAAAAGTAACACAGTTAAGTAGTTTAACAGATTCTTTACTGGCATAAGACAAAAAACCATCTAAACCAAAAAGCTACTTTTAAAGGTAACTGACAATTAAGGTAATGACTACTTAAGATATAGTTTCAGAATAATGTTTTGAATGAGTTGGTTTTTTTTAAAAAAAAAAAAAAAGTAAAGCTTCTAAAACCCATACTCAATTCAGTGTTGTTTTACTTTTTTATTATTTAAATACACCATACTAGAGCAAATGTCTCTGAAAATATCACAAATAAAAGATTTTTCTTCATTCAGCAAATTAGAAGTAGGTGAATCCTAGCAATTTGAGATTAGGTCTGGTTCTTTTTTTTTTTTTTTTTTTTTTTTTTTTTGCCATGGGAAGTAGCAACATTAGGACAAAAACACTTACATGCATACATACATTGTATTTTACAGAGATACAATAAAAGTGTTTGTGATAGAATATCACAAAAGCCACATCTTTATCTCATGTTCAGTTTGATTGAAACACATTTCCTTACAACACTTAAATATACAAAGAGCAAATAGAATGTTGTTAAGGTAAAACACAGGGTACAAACTGGCCAGTGCCCTGCTAATTGTTAATGAGGGTAGAAAGCAGATTTCAATGCTTCTTTTAATTAGCTTCATTAGTCATCTTCCCCACCCGCCCCCCCCAAGATGTCCTCCGGTGGATCTTTTTTCATTTTCTCTACAGTCTCCCATTAGCCCAGGTTCATGGAGTCCTTAATGTTCATATTCAGTCATTTTAATACACCAATAAATGTGGGAAGGGCAATCAAGAATAAAGAAGGTGCAATGGTATGGAGCTGGCATTGATGCTAGCTACAAAGGTGACTTGTCTACTTGGAGACATGGGATCCATCTGTGATGAACAAAATTTGAGATGAAGGCACGCATTCTGCATTACTCTGACCTTTTAGCAGACCTGTAAGAAATAAAAATGGGTATCTTAGCTAGAATACTAAATTTGAGATAGGAAACTACAACATGACTGCTTTTGTCTTTTCCTTATTCGCTAATCTCTTTTTTATTAGATTACTTTCCAACTGTGACTTGATTAAGGCTTTCTACACTATCCATTCATACTGCTAACGTTTCAACTTCAAATAGCAAAAAGCAAACATTTTCTGCAGTTTCACTACTAAAAAGAGCAGACGGGGGAAAAAAAAAAGAGACGACAACAATAAATAAGTGTACTTTCTGGTAACAAATCGTACAGTGAATAAGGTGGTTTTTCTGGGCCCCTTTTAAAAGGGAAGAAACATTATGCCATGCCTTTGAAGAAGCTGGTAATATGATCTTATAATTGGAAGAAATAGTGTGTAAAGCAAATAAGAAAGTACAGCCAATATCCTCCCAAGGCAACTTTGGTTAATATGCTGCATTGCACAAGAGCTAAATATAGATATTTCAGGATTTTTCCCCCCCATTTAAAATTCCTCATCTGGTGTGTTAGTTAATGTTACATAAACATTTTAATATATGAAGTCAAACATGTGCTTTCACACTGGTGTTAATGAATTGTGATAATTAAAAGTGTCTCACTCAATAAAAATCTAAACTTTCATGGATAAAATAGAAATGATCATCCATAGTCTTCAAATACAATCTGTTTGCAATTACCAAAATGAAATAATATATATTAGATTTTTATGGTTTTTAAATGACATTTTGCGCTTCCCAGGAAGTTCTTTTTTCACCCTTTCTCTAAGTTACTAAAAGCCTGAGGTCTATTAGTAACTGCAACCCCCCACTTTCAAGCTAATTAAAGTAGTAGAGGCTTGGAGGTTTAATTCCCCAGAGCTGAAGCTCAGTGTGAGAAAGGTAATTTGTCTGTCCAGAACAAAGATTAGGGAGCAGCCAGCAAGCATATTTAATAAATGAGCATCAAATATCTTCTGCTATGGACACAGACAACACCAATTATGTAACTACAAGGGAATTCTTCAGTGATATGTAAACTAGAAGATTTTTAAGATCTTCTCTGAAAGACGTAAACTAACTCACACACTTTATTTAAAAGTATAGAAGCTGAAGACAAGCGTTTGCTACGAACATTGCCAACCGGTGGAAAATTTACACGTTTAGTAGGTGGTAACACTGTTGCAAACAAGAAATACTACAGGAATACTACCACTACCAAAAAAGCATAGAGGATTCTTGACAATACAGCCCCTTCAAATGAAACGTCACACAGGACATCGCAAACAAAGAGTTTGCATTCTGCAGGCAAGCAGTACCGAGTTCAGAGAAAACAGGTATTTTTTTCAAACTCCATAGCAAGTGCTGGGAAGTTACAGTTTAGGTGTGTGAATCGCCTCAGGGAGGCAAAAGGCAGGAATAGCCAACATCACTGCATTTGCCTCCTTAAGAAGAAAACCCAAGTTTTTAAACAAACTTAGGTCATGCAACCCTTTCTGCCTGCACCAATCACCGACAGGCATTAACCTGTAAACTAGTATTAAGACAACAGTGAGTTCATAACCGCCACCCTCACATACGCAACAAAAATGGGTTTTGATGCTGGGAGTACGTCTCAATCTCTTCAGTTTAATAAAAAGCCCTGTGAATACTCTGCTACGTCTACAATCTCTAGTGGTAGAACAACCCGGAGACTGATTGATCTTTAATGTTTAATAAAAAGTATCTGTTACAGCCAACTCTGTCATAGTGGAAGAACATTTTTAATTAGTGGCCCTAAAACACACAGCTTTCTGGAAAACATCTCGGATGTAAACGTCTTTAAGCTGTTAAAAAGCCAACATACAAAACACGACTCTCTTGGCACCTGCCCCTGTAGCTTCGAAAACTCCAGAAACCTGACAAATCTAGGAATTACCAACTTGTCTCCTCAGCTGTATTTCAGTTTTCTGGGGTTCAGGTGCTCCCCAGTTCCCCTTTGAAAACTGGTAGGAGATTATGTTATATTATAAAGGGGAAAAAAAAAAAACCCAACCCCAAACTATAATCTCTCCCCCCCCAATCTTCTCCCTAACACCTCTTCATCTGCCTCATCATTGACTGTAGCAATGCAGTTAACAGTCGGCGACAGGAACTAATAAAAACCTGTTCTCACTATTTTCTCTGCATTTGGCTTCTACCAGGCGTCTACAGTTGTGAGCTCTGCAAGCCCAGTCCAATTTTACTTCTCTTTTCCATGTTCTATGTTCCTCATCATGTCTACTGCTTTTATTGCAACTAAATCATTTTTATGTTTTGCTAAGGCATAGTAAGGAACTGATAAAACTAAATGACAATTTAGACACCTATTTGAAGTTACATTAAACTTTACATTCATAGAAGACAAGTGGATAAACCACTCTCGCAGAATGGTAAACCTTTTACTGCAGTATATAAAGATGAATGGTTTTACCTATATTTTGAAATGGGATACCTACAAATACTCATTTAACAGATTCACTGCTAGCTAGTCTGTGTTACAGATTTGTTTCATTAAAATTCACAACAGTATAAATCTATGAATCTTTAACTGTATTTGTACTTCCTTGAGAAGAGGCTGCACATTCTTCTCCAATGTTAATTATCTTTGCTCTGCCTAACTATAGGACTTTTGTACTCAACTCTCTCATCACCTCGACTGACAAATTAAGTAAATAAAAAGGTCCACGTTTTATTTTGATGTAATTACATTCACTGTATAAGACTTGAAAGAATACTTAAAATTAATCAGTAAATTTAGGCACAGGAAAAAAAAAGCAAACACAGATATTGAAATGTAGCAACACAACAACAAAAAAATCACGGAAATTAAAAACCGGTTTGTGTTTTCTGGGATGTATTTCTCCACTAAGTAAAAGCACTAAAAAATATTCTGCACATTACAGAATAGATCAGGTTAACATTTGTCCCAGATTTTTTTTTAATCTTCCAAATTCCTATTTGCAGATAAATGTTATTTTTTGTGATCCTTACAGACATTAATGAAGTTCCTATTGTAAATCTATAAAGAATTACCAACTGAAGTGTGCACTTTTTGTTTCATTGCAATAACTCAGTGCTGTGTGATTGCCTGGGTTAATGATGAAAAAGTCAAATATACTATCAGAGCTGATGGAAAAATCTATCACCAATCTGAAATTAAAATTCATCTGTGGTCAATAAGATTTAATATCCATGCAAGTGGCGCTGTAAAGAGTAAATGAATCAATGTCATCAATACATAATCAGTATGAAATATGATGTGAATAAAATTATGTGCAAGAGTCATACATTCACTCTTTTCTGGACCAGGGTGGAATGAACAGTCTCTTAACTCAAGGTTGACAGTAATTGTTACAAATTAGGCACAGCAGTTATCAAAATGCACTCACTCGCATAGCTTTAGGACTTATTAAGGAGATTAAAATAGATCTAAAACTATCTAGTTTCAGAGTTACTGGACAACTGTTGATCAGAAATTTTTTTCTTCTTCTTCTTCCCTGTGTGATTTGTACAGTCATTATTTACTCATTTAGCTAGAAACCAAGAGCTATCAACCACAGAGATATACAATCTCTAGTTGAGCTATTAGTGTTATGGAGCGATAAGAAAATAGCACTTTGGTTTTTAAATCTGAGTTATGACATACAAAACAGACAAGAAAATACTGAAAGAGTACCCCAGCATGCTTCCTCAACTAAAACCTTAACAGTAAAGTGAAATACATTGGTTTAGTTCAGGAACCTTCTCTTCACAAGACAGTTATTTCCATATTAAAGGACCTAATTTTCCTCCCACAGAAACCTGCTCTCTTGTAGCCCTTAATTTCAGGATTATAAAATAAAATACTTCTCTTTGTTAAGGGTTTATATTAACGTATGCTCTCCATTTTGCTTTGTACATAAGGAGATCAACAGCTGTACAGATGCACATACCCAAACCAAAATAAACTGACTCACCCTATATGTCATGTTTAAAAGGTTAGTATTTTCTCCCCATACCCCATGCCTAAGTTATTTAAGGTAAGTTCGGTTACTTAAAGGTCTCCTTGCAGGGGTGGGGAATGTCCTCTATTAGACTGAAAAGAAATTGATCTTCATTTAGCTCTAATAAAGCTTATTAGTAATTGTTGAGTATTCACCTTCTGGTCTGGCAGTAGTGGATTACTCTGAAGTGAATTCAAATGGCCATTGATGAGAGCTGTAGGTCTATCATGTTCACAAAATAAACTGCCATTGATGTAGTGAAACCGATCTCCGGGGACCAGGCGATTCCGGCAGGTAGAGCATGTAAAACACTGAAAAAGGAAAGAGACAGCAAGTGAAACTACAGCACAAATTAAGCATGCTGCAGGTTTGAAAATTACACTTCAGAGACTGCAAGTACAGTTGAGATATGGAGCTGCTTGGTTTCTAGTATCTCCAAATATGGCATTAGTCTTACCTGTTGGGACTGTGCAGTACATAACTCAAGTATAGTTTTACTGATTACGAGGGAACAAAGCTGCACACTAAGGGAAGCTTTGTAATATATACTCACATTTCTAGTTATTGCTTTGCATTTCATTCATAAGCAGATGCAGATTTTATACTGAAGAAGCACGGCAGTACTAATCAGCTACTCAAAAAAATACGTAGAAAAACCCCCTCACCTTAAGATGATAGACGTTGCCCTGTGCCCTCATGACCAGCTCGCTTGCAGGAATGGACTGTCCACAGGCACTGCAAGCACCGCTATTTCCAAATAACCTGAAACAGAGGTGATGATCATGAATAATTTAATACACGGGAGGCTCTAAGCATTTTTGCGCATCACTGCAATGGTTTCTTACACAACTATCTTAGACTTCTGACCCCCGTCTACCGACTTGCTTACGTGTCGTAATATGAAAAAGTATATTTTTGTGTAACAACTGGTAGCTTCACCCTACCTCGGATGCGGTTACACAGGATTTAATCAGAAATATTGACTTACACCTCTAGAAACACAAACAATTCTGTACTACACACATTTTATCAGATTACTGGGTTCATCATAAAAAAAAAAGATACAATTCATGACTGGAGTTTAAATGCATTGTGTCCTTGAAATTATATGAAGAACTCTTTTGTACTTTAATCATATCTTGAGATATGAGTCATCAAAAGGGTTAAGAGGATTTGATTGTATATCTAAGAAGACATCATGCTCAGTGTATTGAAACTCCAGTAAACCTCCATCAGTGCAGAGTTTCCATTAGAAACTCTCTGCTATCCAGGTTGATATATAATGTGTATGGGTTAACCTTTTCAATCATGGTGTCAACACTTTAGATTTGCCTCTGCTCATCTCTTTCATCCTAACCTTCTCTCTCTCTTGATAATGAAATGCTTGCTCCAACTTCCCTCTATCTGCTCCTGAGTCCACAATTTAGATTACTTCATCTCTGCTAGCAACAAACTGAATGAAATTTCGATTTGAGCAGAAAGTAATTTACCGGGATCTGGACCCATTTGTCATCATATCTCTCTGGGTGTTTGCTGTATCACTGCAGTTTTCCTATGCAATCAAATGAGACCACAACATCTGC